CCCTGGTCTTTTAACCCACATACGCGGCGCACCCTGGTCTCTAGGTCTACGTTTTCATTAAATTTGTAGTTATACTTGCCAGCCTTAAAGTTTGATATAAATATTGTCATAAATTTACACTCGAACCTTTGGTTTGGATTCGTCAAGAGAACAAAATTCAAAACTTAGATGTTTTCGAAAGAAGTCTGTCAAGTTTTATTTTCAAGAACTTCTTTTAGGTTTTTCTTTTTTCCAAAAACAAACATGCTGCCAATATTAATTAAGTTCCCATTCTTGGTGGTGACTCAAAACTCTACTCAGGGCTTCTTTATATTGCAGCATGTGAAGAAACATTTGTTTGCATCAAAACATTGATTGAATAGCTGCTTTGAGAATGAAAAAAGGATCAGTTCGAAAAAAGTCCACACTGAAATATAAACCGATTAATATGTTGCATCTTTCACACAATCGACGTTGAGTGGGCCACAAAAAAATCATTTTTCTTATAAAATGACAAGAAACCAAGAAACTTGACACCGAGGCATAAGTCTGAAAATGGTTCTGTTCTTTGAAGCTTAAAGAGTCTTTTATTTTTGTTGAGTGCTTTGGAAAACTCCCCTTCCTGTCCAGAGCTGGATCGCAAAACTACAATTTACTTGAATTGCTCGTCACAGTCTACTGCCATCCGAAGTTACATCGCAGAACAGCCATAATAAAAAGCATTATTGTCACAGTTTTTTTTTTCTAGGGTGAAGCTGGATCGCTGAACTGAAATTATCATATCAGGCTATGCTCAGTAAATGTTATTCCCGGTCGAAACTCGATTGTGGAATTGTTATTTGCCAGAAGCAACACAATGATCTTGGGGCCATTGTGAACTTATAATGTCTATCATAACTAACAAACGCAAACATGATTAAAATTGCATCATTTTTGTTCCCAACAAGACCGTAAAGGCCAGGTAAATCATTTGCATTGTGAAGCTGTTTTCATTAGCACAAGCAGAAATTTCGAGAGAACTTCAAACGAATTTTCACGTTTAAATGGTGTTTCCCTCACGTTTACACGTAGTCCAGCTACTGCTGTATACAGTTTTTTGATCAGATTTTTAGCTTTTTGTCTTTCCAAAATGTCTGACTCGTCTAAGTGTAGTCAAGTGTAGTGTAGTGTAGTCAAGTGACTTAAAAATTAGTGAGACAAAATAAATTAGTTGCATGACTAGTGTTCGATTTTTTGCTATTGTTTCCACAACATTCTTTTCTTGACATGCAAATATTTCTTTGTGCCAAAATTCTCCTTAGTAATTTTCTGGAGTTTCCAAATTTCATGCGACAAAAATATCAAACATACACATGTGTATACACACATTAAGATGAAAGAAATACAGTGATATTGTGTGAAAATAAAATTACACAAAATAATATTATGTAGCCTGAAATGTTAATTTTTGTAATCATAAAAAGAGATAATACGAAAGTGTTTGAAATGATGCTGGGATATCTCACCAGTACATAAAAAAAATTGTAATCACTCACGGATTACAATGTTCTCAGTGACAGAGCAAAAAACCGCTAAAGGAGGAGGGGTCTTTGTGAAGGAAAAAATCATTTGCGCTGAGCCTGCAACAATTGAACAATATAAATTCTTGTGATACACACTATCCGTGCGGATAGCACAGCTTTTAGCAAATTACATCACGGTAAGCTCTTTAGCTCGACAGAGTATGCCATGCTATTCATGTTCTGAATGGCAGGCAGTGGCACCACACTGTTGTATTTTTGTTCGGCGTTTAGCGGAACTCCAGTGCTAATATCACTTAGACAGAAACGTATTGCTGCCAACGCGGAAAACAATCATTATCTCGTTTAAACAACTTGGTTATCTCGTTATTTCTAATTATACCAGTGTCACAACAGAGCTATCTCCTTTAAAAGAGATAATATGTCGTTTAAGTGAGATAATAAGTCAGAGATAA